TTTTCTATTATATTCTTCAAACAAATTTTTAAACCTTTATTGAACAACGTGCAGGTTGAGTTTTTCCTGGTAATGGTGCAATTGATATTGAATATAATTTTGTTTGAACGCTTATCGTAAATGTAAGTGATCTAACTTTTGTTCTTAGGAATATTTTCTGTATTTTATGAAACTTACTGATTTTGGAAATCGAGTACTTTTACATGCCCATTTGACGGAATATATTTTAAAAAATTTGGAAAGGATCTTTTTACTTTTAACTCAAGAATATTTAGATATATAAACACTTTATATAAGCCTTCTTCTTGCACGACAACTAGAAAAAAATGTTAGTTTCAATACTGTAACTCATTTACATACAACTTGGTACAATAGATTTTGTTGCATCGCCAGTTGCATCCATAGTAGTTTATTTTAAAATAGTGATATAATGTTGAAAAGAACTCGATCGAATAATAGCTAAGAAGGCGGTGTTGATCGAATACCGTACAGATTGTTGATGAATATTCGTCGAATTATGATGATGATCGATTACAATCCTAAATACTATTTTTCACGAATGAGCCGAATAATGTTGTGGTTCAAGTTTCGATTATATAAATTATAACTGGAACACCTGATGGTTGAAATTTATGGTTAAAAAATGAATGCTTCAAATTTTTTAACTTAAGTAAGTTAGAACTTCTCCAGGAAAAGTGATCGCCTTTTGTTTGAGTGCAGTAGAGATTTTGTAATGTATTATGATTATTATCGCGATCAATTAAAATCGATCTTTTATATAATGTATATTAATCTGAAATATTTCTGAAAACCGTGATCATTTATAGAGTAGTATATTAATCTATTAATACATGAATATTATGAATGAAATTGAAACACTTAAACAATTGAATAAAAAACAAAGTACACACAATTTTAAATTTAGATTTAACAATATTTGACATAAAAAATGAATTTCCGACTTTAACGCAAGAAAAAAACAATCAAAAAAAAGGAACATTCCATTATGTAGATGTATATTCAATTACAAATTAACGATAAAGATATATATTAACATATGAATCAAATGGAAAATTTTTTCAGATCTATAAGTAGATGACAATGAGATTCAACGAAAGAGATTAATTTATACAATTAAATTTACATTGCCACTTATTCAAATATTTACGAAAGTTCAATCATGTCAGCATCGATAGTGGTACATGTATCAAGCGGGTTTTCATCATCTATTTATGTTATTTCACATTCTTTTAGTCTGTCTATTTTGGTATGTGTCTTAACTATTGTCGTTACGCTCGTAGAAATTTTGTTGATGAATTGAGGATCAGACTTATATATATGCCGACGCTCATAAGGTTTGTATCGATTGATGCAATGAGGACGTTTCTGATTGAAATTAAAATGATTGCATCTACAATTATTATTGTCGAGCTCCGTTCGGGAGTTGTTTCTTTTAATAGATGATGAATGGTTGTACAGAGAAGATAATGACATTAACAGTACCAGACGTGATCCGGTATTGTATTGTTCGTGAAATGATCGGTCAAATTGTAGTGACATGAGAAGTGCTATTCTTTTTTCGTAGATTTTGTTTTGTAGTTGCTGTTGTTGTTGTTTGTTGTATGATAACAGATTTTGTTTGGATTGACGTGCTGTTGTAATGTAATGGTGTTGAAAGAGGAGACCGTGTTTCTATGTGAAAGGATTTTGTTGCAGTCAAACTTGGATTAGTTAAAAGTTGGTAAACAAACTTTTCGTTGAATATCATTGAATAGGGAAGAGAATATTTTTTTTTCTTTTTTTAGATTTAATTATTTACATAGTTGTTATTATTAATGTTGATAAGATAGAACAATTAGTGCTTCCCAAAAATTCTCTTTGGTTTAAATCGAAAAACCAAATATACTATAATACAGCCCAGTCTGAAAAGTATCCAACCGATAATTGACATAGGTAGTGACCACCATTTACGACTAGGTTCAAAGATCTTGGTAACTGGAACTGTAAATGGTTCGCGTATCCGCTTCATAAGGGCATCCATTCTTTGTTCGCCTGGCCTTGTATTAAACCACGACGTATTCTCTTTAAGATATCGATTAACATCCACAACAGAGATGTTGTTAGTCAACAGACTATTGTTGTACAAAATTACAAGGGAAGGGGCACCTGAAGGTATTGCCCGGCCTACTAAGGTGAATTTTGGGCATACGATTGTGTAACCTGGAGTGACATTTACAAGAGCGACAGGTGCGAGAACTAGTTCTTCGTTCAGGTTCAAAGTTTGTTGCCGAATGATGGAGTATTCAGTTTCTGGAATGTTCAAACAATGAAGAGGCTCAGATGATGAAGTAACGTACAGGTTATCTCTTAGTGGTCGAACAAAAAATTTTGCAGGAGGGAGTATTATTGTTTGACAAATGGATAATGGAAGACTTCCTAATATTTGACCTAGGCAAGTTTCTTGCGACATTGTCTGAATCGGTGGAGTATCACGACATGATGTCATTAACTGGAGATCGCATCCAAATTCTTGAGGATCATGCCATTCCATAGTCGTATTATCTACTAAATTGATGGCCCAGTATCGAGGAATTTGAGTTAGTTGAAGAGTTTGATTTTTGTGAAAGAAGGGGATCGCCAGTAATTTATAAGTGAGAAAGGAAGTGTGTTTCTGCTGTGGAACGGCGAAAAAACTAGTGATGACAAGACGACCAATTTCCTGCGGATTTTGGGTTTTGTAGTGTGAACTAGGGACGAAGTCTATCTGTTGACGAACAAGAAGTTTAGTTATGATTTGGACAATGGGAAGTGATGCATGCTCAGAATTAAATGTTAAGCTTCCCTGTTGAATGACATGATAAACTACTTTATACAGGTCGTCTGGCGATAAAAAGTCTAAGGTGAGATCGTTTCGAAGAATTTGAGTTATCGCCAAATACAGCATGGAGCGTTGAAGCTGAATGTGTAACCTTTCAATGCCAGTTTTAAGAGTATTAATAGCTTCTGAATGGGAGCTTAAAATAGGGACCATAGCATTGAGAGCTTGTTGTGTTACTTGAAGTTCATCTGCCAATTCAATCTGATTTGAATGAATTTTTGCTAGTTGGGCTCCCTGTATTTGCAGATTTTGAGAGTATTCTGTCAGGGCCTTTTCCACGACGGCTACCTGTTGCTGAAGGTTTGATATTTGCATACTATTAGCTGCAGAAATACCGAGATTGATAGCTCCCATGCCTATGCTAATGACATCGGTGATGAGACGTTTTTGTCTTTTTGTTGTAATGTTGCAAGCGGCAATGTTCTGAGCAGCTGATAGAGGTAGAAAGTGGCATGTAGCTGCAGTCATCGGAAAAATTGCAGAGTTATGAACGATTGTTTCAGATGGTGTGTATAAACCGACATAACTAAGGAATAAACCTGTTTCAGGATGTGCAATCGTAGCATTTTTTGAAAAAATACTATTAAAGTGAGCAAGAAGATGCAGAGGAAATAGAGTGAAGAGCGAAATAATAATTGTAATATTGTATTTCATGATTAATATACTTGCGACGATCGTTGATGATTCGTGTTGATTAACAAGTTTGATGAAGAGAAATCAAAAGCTTTTTCTAAATATCTGAAATAAATGAGCAAGCTATAAATGAAATTCTACAATCGATTGCTTTTAACAAAAAAATTTAATGTATGAAATAGTAAGAACTACACAAAGCTACAACTATAAAAAAAACACCACTCTAAAAACACCAGAAACAATTAAAAATTTGAAATGTTTTAACAGTTCTCTTTGAAAGATAGAGTGCACTTCTTTGATTATTGGTTAGTTTTTCATTGTAGTCAATGCCAAAATTATTGTTCACATTGATAAAATAAAGTAACATTGAGTCAATCGCATAAAAGAGGCTTTGTCATTGTGATAGATAATGAACAAAACTAAACGAATTATTTGGTTGTTATGAATGTAAAAAAGTTTTCAACTTGTCTCACGTGAATTTATACAAAATATTGAGCATAACGTTGTTTTGTTTGTTCAAAAATTACAGCTAATCTATTAAGCTCAGCAATTTGTCCTTTAGATGGTTTTACTTGCAAAGCACTGATGCTGAAGTCTTGTAAAATAGCAACGTTCGTAAGCTGTTCCACTCGCGATAGTGGTACATAAGCCGATGCCACCTCTACTATTCCAGGTGGCATATTCAAGTCAATGACTATTTTGGATAGTGTCTGACCTTGGCTTTTATGAGCTGTAATAGAGTAGGCTGGTATCAGTGGTAAAGCTTTTCTTTTCACACAGATAGTAGCCTTAAGTTTTTTCTCCTTGAGTATTTTCATAACTGCTCCTTTGTCTGCATATAGTTTGTCTAGATTGACGTCGAATGTTTTTTCGATGACAGGAATAGGGATGATGTGTGAATCGAGTGAATCTAGATTTTTTAATTTGGACTTACGTACTTCCACCAATGCATATTGAGCATTGCGTACAAAGACCGTATCGGACGTGAAAACGTCTTCGTTAGAGCCAGTAGTAAGTTCTGATGTGTGATTGTAAACTAACTCTCGAAAGATGCCTTGTGTACCATTCGAGAGACCAAGTTCACAGGCAATATTTTCTTGTAGTAGAACTGGCATTCCTGGTACGAGAGGCAAATAGCCGGGTAAATGTTCGGTTTTGTTGTCAGACAAAGTGAGAAGACGTCTTGTTAAATCAGGAAGATCAATATGCTTCTTAGCTTTTATTGTGTCCGTGGCAATTACAACAGTTGGTACTCGACTTATTTCATATGCTTTGTTGATGACTGCTCGATTGTTCAGTTCAGTTCGAAGTTCATTTCGGTAAACAAGAATTGGAGCCTAAAACAGCACATATGAAAAAAGAACATTAACTATATTTTAATGATTAAACGTTTTATGCAAAGACCGCCATAACAACAAACTAAAAGTATCAAACAAAATCGTATGTCGAAAGCTATGTGATCTTTTTCCTGTCAAAGATGCATCTACTCACATAAGTCTAAGGAAATACTCCTTTTTTCTAGTATAAATCTTTCTGTTGTTTTCAGAGAAATTTCTATACTATTCTTATGAAGATTTTGTATAGAATGATACGTTGCATATATAATATACCTCGTTCCATGGTGGTTCGTTAAGGGAAATATGAAGTCCTATGCCAATCACTCGTGTTCGAAGTAAGAGCCAATTTTCATGTATGCCTTCGCCATTGCAAACTCTGTCTAAAAGAGCTCGATAAGCCAAATCTTTCGTTCTCATTTGTTCTTCAAGCATGACAACACAGTTGATCTGTAAGATCAATGCTCGAGCACTCTTTTGTTGAATATCATTTTCAGTAGCCAGCTTCCCGTTCTTTTCTGTATCATTATTTATTTTAGAGGCGAAATTATAATAAAGCGGTTTGTCAAATACTGGCGAGTATTGAATGTAATCACCGAAAAAAATTATGTTTATACCACCCATTGTAGACATCGGATCACTGTGTTTAGCTGTTGCAACAAGTTTATTCAAGCGAGCCAATAAACTGAGGCCGACCATTGACATTTCATCAAGAATAATGTATTCAACAAAACGCCATACATTTTTGAGTGTTATCTGTCCAGGACGATTCATAGTTTTTGATTTCTTTTTCTATTTCGTCCTTCACCAAGGAAGGAATGAATTGTCATACCTTCAATCTCTGCGGCCGCAACTGATGTTGGTGCAAGTTTTCTCAATTTAAGTGCGCGATTTGTTTCTGTAAAATATGCAGTTACAGCACGAATCAGCTGAGACTTTCCTGTGCCACCACAACCTGGGACACACATAATTAGTTGATCTTGTTTGTCATCTACAAGGGTCATAAAATAAGAAATAGTTTTCTGACTTCATTATCATACCTTCGTTTAGCTTATCTAGCCCATCCAAATGACCAGTAATAATCATAAATGCAGCCTTTTGATTCGTGTTCAGTGTGTATTGTGTCGCTATACTTTCTCGTGTTATTTCATTTGGTACGGCGATTTTGGTGACTGGCATAATATATTTTGAGTTCGAGACCTCCTCATTACTATCAAAATTTGATGGTAAACTATGATCAGTAGTTTGAGCCAGTTCATTTTCGTCATTGCCATTGTTCTCGATGAGGTCGTCATGCAGTTGTTCACCTATACAAGCGTTCCGTATTCGATCTTTTTCTTCTTTAATTGTACGTTGCCATCTGTTATTTAATTGAACTAGTTCACTGGTTGCTGGTACTAGATGTTTATGATCAGAAATAATTTGCTTATTCAATTTGGACGAATATTTTAGACGATTTGTCGATCCCATAAATGAAGCTATGAATAACAACTACTGATAATAGTTTCAAGAAAATTAATCATCTTACTTCGAATATTGGCAAATCGATTGGCTTGATCGGCTGCTTGTACTACTCTTTCAAAGTATATTTGTTCTACTCTACTTGTATTGCTATTCAGACTAGGAACGCCAGTTATATCAATAGCTTCCAATACATCAAAAATTTCATTGTTTTCATCGTCGCTATCACTATCTCTGTGTTGAGGATAGTGTTCATGACCACCAGTCTCAGTTTGTGCAGCTTCAATTACCTGCTGCAAATGCTCATCGCGATCATTTTTACATTCCTGGAGTGACTGTATGTTATTGATGATTTTCCATGATGTTGGTAGAATTCGTGTTTGACGACTATTAAATGCCTCTTCCCATGTCTCTTCAACATTGCATACGTCTTGAAATGTTCGCCAGGGGAGAAAGAGAGTAGATATGCATCGATAATAACGTTCCCTTGTATCGTCTCGGTCTTTGCGAGGTATTGGCGGACCTAGCAAAATTGGTACGACTGATTTCATGCGCTCTATGTTTATATGTGACGCAGATTGTGGATGCCCAACTTGGAACACTTCTCTTCCAGAAGATGGCCGACCGCGTTGTGATTTTTTTAAGTGAATACTTCTTGATTCTGATTGAGCTTTTAATTGCTTTCGATCGTTTGCATCAATAGATTTTTTGCGATATAAGCAGATATAATCATATAGACATATATTGTCAAGTGCTGTTGAACGATATTGATAGTCTACTCTGGTGTTTACATATACATATTTACTGTTAGTCTCCGCAGGTTGAAGTAAAAATTGTTCTTCTGTTTCGACGCAGTTTTCGTCATTGTCAATATCTGCCGTACCTATCAAAATTAGAAATATATTCTAAAATTAAATCTATAATTTAGCAGAAAGTTGATTTTATTCATGATTTCATGTCCGTGGTCTAGTCTCCTGGAAAGAACAGAAATATATCGTGTTTTAGCATCTACTACGTCTTATTGTATCTTGTAGTTCTGCATAATTACTCTACATATAAAACATATTTAAGGTGAAAAAATCTGATAAATAATTTCTCGATCTGATGCTTAAGACTATTTATGCAGATATAAAATATATTTGCTGCAGCAAACAATGATAGATATTACTTATTGTTTGGCGCTGTTGTTTGAGTTTAGCTTCTGATAGCATAGATTGTAAATAATTCTCGATACCAATGAGAAATAGATTGACAAAGTCATGCGTTGCATAATGATCAGGCCAGCCCATCAGATAAGAAGCCACTTGCACACCAGATAATTCTTGCTGTGAAGCAAGTGTGTTGTAGCAACGCAAGACAAGTCGACGTGATTTCTCCTCGGCATTAACAGCTGCATCCATATTAAGTTTCTGCTTTTCAAAAGACTGAACTGCTTTTAATACTAACGAAAATGTGTCGTAAAACGAGAGGCTCGATTTTGTCACATAGTCTGTAATATAATACACCAACGCTTTGGCATCACTCCCACTGAAAATATACTTAATATCCATGTTCGAACGACAGGCACTAATAATATATTCGTTGAAATTATTAATTGTTTCATGAAGCCGCTTCAACTTAATTTCACCGGTTTTAATATTGATAGATGACACATTTTCGATCTGCCGAGGCATTCGCATACGACATATAGGATTGTCGGAGTTTTTCGAATATTTATAGCATGATGCGGTGTGCTTATGAATATTATTAGTACATACTAGCTGTATAATGCCTTTTTTGAATAAAAATTCAAAGTTGGGCATCGATGGTGTTGGTGTTGGCAGGATCGATGGTATTAGCTTCAGAGAATTACTTTCACATTGATTAGAGTCTAAAGAGAATGTATGTTTTTTAATTTGTCGAACATGTTTCCTACTTTTGTTAGTTGTACTTAAGTGTATGTCCGTCGGCGTTGGATCTTCATAACAAGCATCGTCTGAACGTGAAGATTGTTGTCGGCCGAGAACTAAAAAGATATTGTTAAAATAAATTATATATTTATTGAGAAAAACGATTTTACCATTGGCTTCCGACGTATTGTCACAAAAGTCACTAAGATCTTGTTTGATAATATCTTCTAAATAGTTAAGAAGACCACGTCGAAACTCTTCATTTTGAACCGATTCTTTTAACTGTGACGGCGTCAGATCGTGAGCAAGCCATATGAGAATATGTAAATGCAATGAACCTCTACCTTGGTTTTCAACTGTACCAAAGTAGGCCTTAATGGGTCCTAGTACGCCCTTTTCTACCATACATTTAAGAATAGAAGAGATAAGCACATTAAAAAAACGAGCTGTAGCTGCAGGATGTGAAGCTATAATTTGAGCACGTTCGTATGTTGATGGAATTTTTTCTGGTATAATTGTATCAAGATCAAGATCGACGCCGGCAAAATAGAGAGCAACTCGACTGTGAATGTCGGCAGAATTTATTGTCATGAATATGCTAGGTAAACCTTGGTTGAATATCAGACCATGGATCTGATTTCGAAGAGCAGCTCGAGAATAAGCCGAACCCATGACATTTCCACCCACCGTTTTGATTTGTCTCATAAGCATATTAATTCGTGGATTGTCAACGGAAGAGAACGTCTTTTTGTTGATAGTTATTAGTGCAGCCTCAATTTCTTTACTCGTTAGCGTTTGAAGATCGTTCGCAGCATCTTGAAAATAAGGTCGAGAAGCCATAAGAGTTGCATTCCAGCATGCTTGTCGCCGTTGCATTATATTGAAAAGAACAAACATAAATGAATGATGTTTCTCAAAGCGTTGATCATCATATGCTAATAAATAGCGAATGTGCTGCTCCAATGACACTGAAACTGGTCTTGATGAATCTTGAGGTGCTCCAAATCCGTAGGGGAAAAGAGTTGGATATAAGCCAAGTAGCAGTTCTGGATTGAAATAGTCTTTGATTGGCATATGAGATCTCGGAATCATATAGACATCGTCTTCATCCTCGGTAGATTTCTCGATTAAGTCAGACGACGCACTAATTAAATCTTTGTTA